GAGCACAGTGTTGACGCCATCCGCGCGACCGAAGTGTTGGTAGATCCTACGACCGTCTTTCTTTTTGCGTAAATTAATTCAATACCGAAATAAAATTAGTAACTATGTAATAAAACAACTAAAACAGCTTTTTCCGTGCTCCCTTCAGTAGTAAATCACTTAGGAAGCACCGTAAGGACTCAAGAAGTGCGAGGAGCACTCGCCTACGGCTCGGGCTTCTCCTTACACTTCCTTCGCGCATATGCCGCTTCGTGCGCATATTACTGAAAGGAGCACGGAAAAAGCTGTTTTATTTGTTAAATGATGATAAACAATTATAAATAATAATAATAAATGATAATAATAATATTAATAATAAAATAATAATCATGAAAAATAATAATGATAATAAATAAAAGAAAAGCAACTTTTATGTTATACTATTTGTCGTCTAGTACTAGGGCTTTTTTATCGATATATTTACTAGAGGAGATTTTTCACGCTAGCTGCTCCCTTAACTCATTCGGAAAGTATCAAAAACAGCTGATAAAATATTGAAAGGCATCGTTTTATCGTCCCCGTCAACAGCTATCTATTACTGGTTTTTTTTTTCGTCGTTAAATTTAGAATGATTTTTTTGGCAAAAACAGTTTTTTTTCATTTGTTGCTCGGTGTGTTGTTCACACGAAATTTAATTTTGAACACAGCAAGAAAAGATGGTCTACATGTGGCACAAATATATTGGACGAGAGGTACCGTCTCTTCAATTGCTTTTATTCATTGTTTGCCTTTTACGTTTTCTTTTTTGTGCGCAAAAAATGAGTTGTGGGCAAAAACTAAAAATAATAATTGATAATAATAATAATATAAATAAATAAATAAATGAATAAATAAATAAATAAGTAAATAAATGAGTGAGTGAGTGAATGAATGAATAAATAAATAATTAATTAGTTAATAAGAGAGAAAGAAAAGTGCAAGAAGTGTGAAAGGATTAGGCAAGCAAGAAATAAGGGGGAAAAAGGTAGAGTAAAGGGAGTGGATAAGGAAAACGGGAAGAGAATGGGAGATGAAAGAAAAAGTAAAGAGTGGAAAACAGAAGTGTGATCAACACTCTAACAGAGTGAAAAACAGTAAGAGATGAGAAGAGGAGAGGAGAGGAGAGGAGAGGAGAGGAGAGGAGAGGAGAGGAAAAGTAAGGGGAGGAAAGTGGATGAGGAAAGAAGGAAAAAGGAAAGAGCATGAAAAAGGAAGAGAATATAAAATGGAAGAGAATAAAACGAAAACGTGAAATGAAGAGAACCACAAATGAAAAGAAGCGAAATAGAAAAACACATAGAGAATAGAAGAAAAAGATAAAGGGAAATGAAAGAAAAGAAAGAAAAGAAAGAAAGGAGAGAAAAAAACAGAAGGGGAAGCCAGTGCCCAAATACATCTTCATAGCAGAAGTAACTAAAAAAACAAACTTCAAAGACTCCAGCTCGAGAAGTATTCTATTTCATACCAAAAATCTCATATTATATTCCAATTGTTTAAACATGCTGTTATCATGTTGGTCAGCAGACTGTATACGGAAACAACCTGTGCAGGCGCACTAGGAAGAACACATTGACACTAAGAAATTTCGTACACAGAGTTCCTCGGTGTCGTTCCTTCCCGAAGACTGGTACCGGTTATGAAGAGAACACCACATATCTTAGTATTTTTGAGTCGTTTACATTTAGTGTAAATATCGATTAGCATCGTTTGTTAAATTTTTACATCCTAAAGACACCGAAGTTTGTGTGTTTGATGGGCGCGTTGAGTGCAGCACTTAGACTCAGCCCAAGGACTGTCCGTGTGTCTGCTGGGTCGATCACACCGTCATCCCATAGCCTAGAGGAAAAAGAAGATTAGCTGCTAGAATAATATTATGTGCAAGTATAATAAATATACTAGGCAATATGAAAACCTATCATGGGAATGGATGGATGGATGGATGGGTGGATGGATGA